TGGACAAAGCGGAGTCCAGCCCGGGGTCGTCACATGTGGTTGCCGCAAGCCCACCGGCCGCTCCGTCAAATCAAATCTGTAGTTGTGCACACAGAACACCTCAACCTCTCTCCCTGGACTGCAGTTCTGTGGGTTCCTTTGTACTCCAGCTAACGAGCTTGAACAGGAGTCAGGTGGCACTCATGAGCCTGTCAAGCTGCTGGTGCAAGAGAGGGGAGCACAGTATACACACACACACAGGAAACACAATTGTTAGGCCCTGTCCACACAGAGACACGTTTAGCTGTATACGCATACGTTTTGTATAGTATAGGCATTTCGTCGAGATGGTCCTCACTACAGAACACAAGATCCAGGGGGCGAGGTTGGATCCAGATCCAACTCCTCCCACCTTACATATACCCAAACCTACCCGTCTCCACCCTCTGATCCCTAAACCTACCATCTCCACACCCTAGATGTGGATCATCCAACCCCACACCCTGGATCTTTGTTCTGCAGTGAGGGGCTACTGGTTTTGTCCACACAGATCCAGCGTTTTGGGAGAGTGAAACCGATATTTTTTGAAACCGGGTCCCAGAGTGGATACATCTGAAAACACCGCCCTTGCGTTTTCGTGTGGACAGCGAATCCGTATATTTTCTGAAACGATGACGTCATCAGCCCACGTCAGACACCGCTACGTCTCGTAACAGCAACAAAAACATGAACAAACACTGAACGATTGTCTTTTTATTAACTAACATTAACACAGATTAATAGATGTATTGTTCCATGTTCGTTTGTATACCGCGCGCAAGGTTTATGCGCATAGTCCAAGTCTTCTCCGTTTTTAGTGCATCTCTGTGGCAGAATTACAGCGCCACATACTGGTCTGGCATATATACTACATCGTTTTGTGTCGGTTTCGTGGTTTCGTGTGGACGCAGATATTTCTTGAGACAAGGGGGAAAAAATATCGGATAGGGAAAGCTCTGGCTTCGTGTGGACGTAGCCTTAGTCAAATCATAAAATAAATAAAAATAAACTTATACGTCCCCATGGATGTAACAGTACCAAAAGTGTACAAATTTGCAACTTTTGAAAGAGTACCACCCCATTGACATTTTGTGCCTTTTTTCCGAGAGTGTATAACAGAGTTCAGTGAAACATATCATGAATGCACTGCAGTATTGATGTGCTCAATGTTCATCTGTGTGTTGTTGTTCAGGTATGGTCATAGGAGCATGTTGCTGGTGTCCTGTGTGTCATCTCATGCACCTTTCTCAAGCACCTAGCCTACATCATGTTTGCTGCCTTCCGCTTCCTGACCGGATTCACACTGATGGGAATCATTAACATATCAGTTGTGCTAAGTCTTCTCTGAAGCCTAACTTCTCTGAAGACCTTTATCCTTTATCCAAGACTCAAATACATCGAGCTGTTTATCCAGTCTGAGCATTTTAAGGTCCAAAATGAAAAGAGTCCACTCTTAACATGGCCAATTGCAGTCAATTATGGTCATTTGACTGCACTGACACTGTTGGATGAGGACAAAACTTGAACTGAATTAAGCCGGATGATGACACTGTTGCCTTTTGTAGAGCTGCTTTTAACTGAATTCATTAAATAATGGATGAACTTTAAAGTTATCGTACTGAACTGAATCAACACTGAACACTGTCTATAATGACACTATATTGTTTGTTTTAGAGCTTGAATTTGAATTATTCTCATATTTCATGAAGTTTGCATGCTTTGCAACAATCTGTATTGTTCTCATATTTCATAAAGTATGCAAGCTGCTTTGAAGCAATCTGTATTGTATTAAGTGCTATATAAATAAAAGAGAAAAGCTGAA